GCCGGTACGAGACTCGAACCCACAACCTTGGGTTACGAGTCCAACTCTCTAACCATTAGGCCACGACTTCCCTTGTAAGTTGTAGTAAAGATTTATATCGTTAGCAAATATTTCTGTTATATGCAACACACAATTCTGTACATACTACTAATTACAGTTATATTTTTGAATCATTTAATTGTAATAATAATTATATGTAAGGGATAATGCATGGCTAGCTGTGCATTATCCTGCTTATACCATGGTCATTTGCCAGCATTGACAAGTTAAACTGTTAATGATATTTGCAGCACAATATTTGACCGAATTGGTAATTCAATTAAAGGGGTCATATGGTGGCTGACTCTTAACTTTTATAAAGAATATCTCTTTGGATTTGAGACTTTAGTCTTTGCAACTTTACAGATCTTCTTTATGCACCAAGAGCTTGTAACACTTCAAAGAGAAAGGAAAAATTGAAATCGCGTCATATGACCCCTTTAAATCGAATTGGCTCTCTCTCTCTCTCATACCTGCCAGCAAATCAGAATCGAGTATTCAGACAGACCATGATATAAATGTAAAAAATGTAATGATTCAATGTTGAGACAAGAACTTATTTGCATAGCACCTTGTGAACTTATATTTTTTTCTGCTCATAAATGCGTTCCGCTCTACTGCTGCTTTTTGTGTTCCTGCTTTCCTTTTGTTATATTTGTGCCGTTGTATTAATGATCCCGCAACCCTCTCCTTGCTCACAGCACCTGGATTTACTCGTGAGTATTTGTGCACTGCTGCGGTTCTGCTCATTTTTTTAGACACCTCTCGTGTAGTTCCTCTCGTCTCTCTAGATAGCAGTTCGTCTTCATAGATACCTGTCTTGCGTAATTGCCTGTCTAGTTTTATTCTAGTTGACTGACTTTCTTTCTCTCTTTTCTGCTGATTTTTTCAGCCCTGTATAGGATTGTTCTTGTACATCAATGATTCATTTTTGCAAACTTGAGTCAGTGGCAATGTTTTCATGCTGATGGCATCACCATGGATAATCTGTCACTTGTGGATAAAAACAGACTTATGGGAAGTTCTCATTTTCTTGAAAGTAAAAAAGGGGTGTAGCAGCACTGTTGCCATGTGTTTTTGCCAATAGACTGTGTTTTGCCAGTTGTCTGGCAAGCCTGATTCATGCCCTGCGTCAAATTAGACATGACTTAAGACTGTGGGACTATACCGTGCTTTATTACATTGTTTCTGGTTTATTTCAGTGGCCTGTCTGTAGATTAATACAATTTGTGCCATCTGCTAAACATGCCACTGGGCCAAGTCCTGTAGTTAAATTACCTTTCCCCTTTTCAAACTTTGATTTACTACTCTTACTGATTTGTCTTTTTATGTACAACTTGGTTTATTTTGCTTCTGTTCATGCTTAGCATTTCTGAAAGTAAACATTGCCTCTCAACATTTTCGATTAAGCATTGCAAGTTCTAAAGTAATTATTCAAGTAAACAGTAAAACAAAGATACAAATGAAAAGATTTATTTATTTTTAAATCAGTTGATCTACTGAATTTGGATGTTGTATTTTTATTTCTGTTTACATTAACTTACACGAAGTAATTCCATGCGGTTAATTGTAATGGTTTGAGGTATAGTTGCCTGTGACCATCATACTAGAACAGATTTCGAGTGATTTCCAAGATCACTGATGGTAAGAGGAAAGTCAGAGAAAGACGTATATCTGGAAAAAAGGTTGTAAAAGGTAAGTAAGTAGCATATTGACACCATAGTAGCCAGAGCTTCTTTTATTTGTTTACAGAGGACTAAATGCATTTTATACCATGTAAAAATCTGTTATGTTTAAGTATTTTGCCATGACTTCCAATTAACTCCCAGTTAAAATGCTGAGGGGTGGGCGATATGATCGAAACTTTATTCCTGTCATACAATTTATTTGCCCGTGGCAGTGATGCACATCACCAAATAGTCATTTGGCTTGTCACTACATTAAATTATTATAAATTGTAAACTATATTATCGTACAGCTCTGTATATAAAGTTAGATGTGTAAGTATATCAGACTTTACCCACAAACACACAGTATACTTATGAAAAGCAATATATACTATATTGCAAATCGCATCTGCTTGCTTGTTTTTATCATTGCAAAATGTAAACTCTTATTATCACCAATCTGCTAAATGTGAATATAATTTAACATATATATATATATATATATATATATATATATATATGTATGT